CTGGCCTTGGAAATTCTTAATTACCATATCTGGAGGCAATATGGAAATAGGCAGTTTTTGATAACCACCAAAGTCTAAAACTGAAGCAATTAACTGAGATGCTTCTACATCTCAATACACAAAAAGCAGTAGGATCTAATGGTTAAGTGTACCAGTTTGAAAGTCTGAGAGACCTGGCTGAACCTTGACCTCATCAATTAGTAGCTCTGTGACCTTCGGCAAACTGCTTAACCTCTTTAAGTTTCCATTTTCTCCATCTATAAAATAGAGGTAATAAAAGACCATGTATTCAGCCATGTAGTCTTCCTACCAAAAAAACGATTATGGATGTGATAAAGCGTCTAGCACAGACTCTCTCACATACTGAAAGTTTTCAATGAATGGTAGGTAGTAGTATTATTATTTTGGATGATTATTCACTCAACAAGCATTTGTGGGTAACTTATCCTGGGCTAGCACTAGGCTTTGATTCTACTTTAATTCCGACAAAGTTAAAAAAAATCTATCTATCTGGTATGACCCATGGGGGAGCCCTAGGTTACTGACCTGATAGACCTAGGTATTATCCAATTAACATAGAATACCTGCTCCTCTTTGATGTATAAATGCATAGCAGTGAGATCAATTCCTCTGCTTCTACCCTATTCTCCTTGCCCACTCAACAGCAGAAAAGTCAATGATCACTCCACGAACAGCCATCCAAAGTGGCTTCACAGAGAAGGGACAGTGCCAGGACTGCTGGAAAAAGGAGCCGCCCTCAAGGTGGTCTGCATCACCAAGCCAGACTCAGCAGGGTACAGGAGGAGGCTGGATGACTTGCCATCTGTATGGCCGTTGTAGTGATATCAGCAGCTTCTCTGTCATTAGGACACTGATGGCAATTTGCCTTGAAAAATATATTGTAAAATCCAGTGAATTTCCTCCCCCATATCTTGGAGGCTTAGGAATAACTGAAATGGATTCCAAACTGTTTTGAATTAACAAAAAGAGCTTTTGCCTGTTGCAAAGTTCCAGCTGGAACTCGCCGAGACTTTTTCTTCACAAAACAGCAAACACTCAAGGGGGCAAAACATCCACCAGAGTGTCCTGGGGCTTGTCAGCTTCACTGAGTTTTACGCTTGGCTTTGGCTGCTGGGTAGGTTTTGGGAGTTTGCTAGGGTGGCTGGCATGATGCTGCGGCGCCAGTTGCAAACATGCCTTTGCTGGAGACAGTTTTATTACTCTCGACGCTGCCCAGCCTGTCAGTAAGACTAGGGAGTGCAAGGAAAGCTATTGTTTACCATGATGACCAAGGAAGTGCTGTTCCTGGCTTCTAGTTATGGGCCTACTTTAGGGATACGGTGAAGAGAGAGCAGGTTGTGGCCACCAACACAAAGAGTGAGTGTACACATCACAATCCACTGGCCAGCACCAGAGGGGACAGTTAGGACACCTAGGTTTCAATGTTAGTTCCACTGTGGCACTAGTTGTCACATCTTAGACAAATCGCTTAAGTCTATGACCCTCACTTTTCTTTCTGTGAAATAAGAATTAAAAACCCAGGCACATTGTCAGGATCGAATGAGAAATTTTCTCGAAAAGGTACCAAGTCCTAAACTTTGGTTCTAGAATAGGTTGCTGCTCCTTTTATTTAGTCTAATTCTTGCCCCCAAGCTCAGGAGAGAAAGACTGCAGAAGAACTAGGTCATCTTTCTTAGCAGTTTGGTTTGAGAGCTGAGTAAAGAGCAGAGATGCTAAGCCCGGGCAAATCTAAGTACCAAATCAAATGGTATCAGCAGTTTTTAAGGCTGAGGTTGAATGGCTGCAATCTTAGGTAGCAACTCCAGTTTCCCCAGCAAATACTGAGTTGGGTCAAATCAGTTACTTTCATCTAAAAATCTCCTCTTTGAGTCTTCTAGGGATACCCCCATTAATCCCCAATTCCTTACCCCCACCTGCTCTTAGTTGATGCACGTCTTGTTCATCTTTCTTTTAGTCTGGGGCCCTAAGTGCCTTTGCTGAAGCGAAGTTCTGTGAATCCAAAGTTAGCTTGGAATGAGACCAACTGAATCCCTACCAAAAGCACTTCTTTCTGAACTAAAGCAATTGACAGACTTCAGAATAAATTGCAGAGGAGGAAATAATCACTCTTGTTAAGATTGGGTAGGATCAGAAATTTGTTTAGTAGATGAAAGCCTCTTGCTTAGCTGAATGGAAAATCTGGAATAGGAGGGAAAAACTAATTGAGAAATTTTGTCTTATTCTAATGAAGCATAACTGGGGAGGTGGATTTCATCCTCTATAGATGCCTGAGATTCAGATCTCACTTCATAAAGCCCAGAATTCTCATGACTGCTTCTTGTCTAGTCCTTGCCTAGTTGAAGCTAAGTATCTTTGAGTGGCTCATTTCAAATGCTTCTCTTTGTATCTGTGGGTAGGAATACAAACTGCTATGAACTTACACATACATGTATGTATATATCTATATATGTGAATGTGCGTGTCAACTTCTTGATAGGAAAAATAGAACTCTGTTAATTATATTTTATTCTGAGTGCAAAGCCCTTTAGTTTTCACTTATACCTTTCTGTACTCTTTCAATTATAAAATGACTGTGTATTACTTTTATTTAAAAAGTTAACAAAAACTATTAACAAAGAGTATGTAATGATATGGGAAACTGATTAAGTGAAAAGAACAGACATGGGATATATAGTAGCTTAGGAAAAATATTTGAAATAAGTTAATTATTAGTGTATTTCCAAATTTTATTAAAAATAAAATGTGCCTTAAAATTGTAGATAAATAGGCTGGGTGCAGTGGCTCATGCCTGTAATCCCAGCACTTTGGGAGGTGGAGGCAGTTGGATCACCTGAGGTCAGGAGTTTGAGACCAGCCTGGCCAATATGGTAAAACCCCGTCTCTACTAAAAATGCAAAAATTAGCTGGGTATGGTGGTGCATGCCTGTAGGGAGGCTGACGCAGAAGTCACTTGAACCTGAGGGGCAGACGACCTGGTTGTAGTGAGCAGAGATCGCGCCACTGCGAGAAGAGCAAGACTCCATCTCAAAAAAATAAAATATTAGATAAGTAAAATCAACTGTTTTTCTAATCTGGTTTTTCAAAATTTAGTATTTTTCTTCTGGCAAACCTCTTATATATTGGAATCTCATCTTTTTTTGCTGATTTAATAAAATATACTAGAGAGTCAAGGAGTAATTTAGGTAGATTTGGTCAAGATATTAAACCAGGTAGTATATTTTTGTTCTATTAAACATAATATCAAGTAGTTATTTTAAAGCAAACCACAACTTGACCCTGGATTTGTGGCTCTAAAGGTAAACTATGCCATATTGAGATCTATTTGCTCCCTAGGCATTTAAAGGGCGGTATTCTGCATGATGTGATGGTAAAGAGCATAGAGTCTGAGCCAGCATGCCTGGTTCACAATCCTGGATCCATCTTTCGCTAGACATGTGACCTCGGGCAAATGAGAAAACCTCTCAGTGCTTTGGTTTCCTCATTTGTAAAATGGCCCTTACTTCCCTGAATTGTTGTGAGGATTGAATAAATATGCATGAGGTGCTTAGAACACTGCCTGGCACACAACAAGCACTAAATAAATGTTTGCTATTCTTATGACTACTGCACTATGCACCTGATTTCAGAAACATTCTCCTTTCATTGGACAACAAAAGACTACACAGTGATCATGCTCTTTATAATATAGTGTGCAGTTACACACAGTTTACCACTATCCCCTGATGGCTTTTTCAGAAACAGAGGATTCACTGTAAAGTACATATAAAAAGCTCACATGAAGTCCACTTCAACAGGAAAACCCGCTACTCGAAACAATTTTTATACAGAGAGATGAAAGTAAAACCTTCTCACGAGAGGCTAATGAAAGTAAGGTTTAGGTTGGGCATAGTGGCTTATGCCTACAATCCCAGCACTTTGGGAGACCAAGGCGAAAAGATTGCTTGAGGTCCGGAGTCTGAGATCAGCCTGGGCAACATAATGAGACCTCACCTCTACAAAAAATTTTAAAAAGTAGCAGGGCATGTTGGTGTGCCCCTGTAGTCTTGGCTACTCGGAAGGCTGAGGTCCGAGGATCACTTGAGCCCAACTGTAAAATGGTCATGTATTACTTCTATGAAGTAGCATGATCATAGCTTACTAAATGCAGTTAGAAGCTGCAGCGAGCTATGATCATGCAACTGCACTTCAGTCTGGGTGACAGAGTGAGGCCTTGCCCCACATACAAAACAAACAAAAAACAAACAACAATAAAAAAAAAAGAAAAGAAAAAAGTCACACTCAGTAGAAAATCTGGTTTTTGGAACTGGTTAGTCAGATAATGTACTTGCAAGGCCAAAAATACAACAAATTGCTAAATAACTGTTTATCTCTATGTTGTGTGTTCGGTTCACATTGCATTCTTAATCACAACCAACTACCTCACAAAGGTACTTTCAGGGAGCCATCAGAGGAAACCACACAAGAGAGTGGGTGGAGGTCAGTAGGTATTGCTTAATTTCTGATATTGGAAAAGCAATTCAAAGTAGTATCTTACTGATGGTAGTGCAGGAGCATAATTTGACCAGAAACACTTAGTAGTACCTTCTCTATGCCAAGTCAACAATGTCTTAAGCAAAGTTATATATTTCATTACTTACAGGAAACAGAGATTAGACTGGCCTCTAACCTTCCTTTCTGGAAAGAAAGAAGGAAACAAGGAAAGGAAAAAGGAAAAGGAGAAGAGGGCATTTGACTGGAAAAAATATCTTGTGTGGGATGAAAGAGAAGATCCTGGGTTACCTATAGCCTTCATAGCAGAAACCTTTGAGATTCTTTCTTGGTACAGTGTTTTGCATGTGTAGTGACGATTCATGGCATTATGCCATTGGCACTTAATGTGACAACGAATGCAGACTAATACTAAGGAAATCCAAAATTCTTTTGGCCATCCCACCATCCTCCCACCCTCTCTCACAGAAAGATCAAAAGACAAATCTTACCTCCACTGAGAATAATGACAGCAATAAATATTGCCAAGTCACTGTCATCTAATTCCAGTGCATTGAACTTCACAGCAAACTCAAACTTGGGCTCCATAAAGTCACCAAAAGGCTTTCGCAGGCTCTTTAGAAACTCCCGTGTCATGAAGCCCTGGCCCTCGGATATGAGAACCCCATCTTTATTCATCAAGGAGGCCAGCATTGTGTAAATGATCTCGTGGACTCCATATTTGAGGAGAGTTACTTGGTCGTTCAAGTCAAGATTTACAAAACCAGGAATGCTTTTGGCATACTCTGTGATCTCCTGCACAGCCTCCACAGAGCGGAACTGGCAGCCCTGAAAGATGCGGATGGCCACCTCTTTGCTCTGCTCCTGCAGTGGGGTGATGTGTTTGAACTTGATTTTATCTTCTCCCATCATTAAAGAATTCATGTCATAGATAACAAATGGCTGCAAATAAAACAGAGAAAAAGTGGCTGAATTGGAGACTTCTAACTCACACTGAACACCACCCCGGTTCAGAAAACTGTTTCTTTATGTAAACTTGCTTTGTTAACTAAAATCTTTAAAGCTGAAGATGCTTAATAATGAGAATGTATTCCCAGGTTCTTTTATTCATCTTAATTGTCTTCTGGGACCAAAGGTATTTCACCAATTTTGGTCTTCTTTCTCTTCAATTTATACTATAACACTTAATCTATGACTGGCCAAGAATCCCAATGTCTCTTGTCTGGGGAGTCTTCATTGTTGATTTTTATGTTTGTTTGTTTTTGAGACAGAGTCTTTTTTTTTTTTTTTTTGAGACAGAGTTTCGCTCTTGTTACCCAGGCTGGAGTGCAATGGCGCGATCTCGGCTCCTGGGTTCAGGCAATTCTCCTGCCTCAGCCTCCTGAGTAGCTGGGATCACAGGCACGCGCCACCATGCCCAGCTAATTTTTCGTATTTTTAGTAGAGACGGGGTTTCACCATGTTGACCAGGATGGTCTCGATCTCTTGACCTCGTGATCCACCTGCCTCGGCCTCCCAAAGTGCTGGGATTACAGGCTTGAGCCACCGCGCCCAGCCGAGACAGAGTCTTGTTCTGTCACCCAGGCTGAAGTACAGTGGCACACTCACTGCAATCTCCACCTCCCAGGTTCAAACGATTCTTGTGCCTTAGCCTCCTGAATAGCTGGGATTACAGGCACTACCACCACGCCCAGCTGATTTTTGTATTTTTAGTAGGGTTGGGGTTTTGCCATATTGGCCGGGCTGGTCTCCAACGCTAGCCTCAAGTGATCTGCCTGCCTCAGCCTCCCAAAGTGCTGGGATTACAGGCGTGAGCCACCATGCCCAGCTGACTGTTGTTTTTAAAATGATACAAAATCTACTGTTTATCTTGGCTTTCAATGAAATACACTTTTAGCCTTCTTTCAATTAAAAGTCATTTTGGCAACTCAAGGTTGAAAATACCCACTTGAACATAAAGTTACTTTTCAGGTTTAAAAATCATTTTTTTTCTTAATTTTTTTTCCTTTTCCTTTGTTCTCCTTCACAGGTAATAACTTTTCAGTTTTAGATGACATCCTCTAAGATCACAAATGAAACTATGTGCATACAAAATGTGCTTAAGTATTACAAAATCACTCTGAAAGCAGATTTGGGCTACTGAACCAAGAAAATGTCTATTTCTTTTTTTAATGCTCTGGAAGTCATCTATTTCAGAAAGAGCAGATATAGAAAGCCTCTAGGGGACTGCTGCAAAAAGTGGCAAAAAGGGTTTTGAATTTATATTTTAAAATATCTGTCCTTACAGGTTAAACCATCAATAAAATACATGCCCCAATTATTCAAGTTTGCCATCGGCTGTTTTCAAAAGTTAAGTTGTTTGGTCGTGACATGATCTCTCTCTGACTTCCCTTTTATAGAACTAACTAATGGTTTGTAGTCACTGAGAAGTTCTCAAGGCTGCTCTAAGGGGCAATCTTTTACTTAACACTGGATACAGTGAATGACATACAGGAGTTAAACCTTGAATCCCCTTCAAATACTTGTGTGCCTGAAGGCACTGGAAGAAGAGCTGAGCGTATCTGGGTTCTAGTTTTGGTTCTGTGGTGAACTATGTGACTTAAGGAAAGTCATTTATCTTTCCTAGACCTTAATTTTCTTCATCAGGAGTTTGCAGCTCTTCTCTGGGGGAAATTCTAGTTGCACTTCTCAAAAGCAGGATGTGTGTGGGGGGTGGGCATATGTGTGGAGAGGTGTGAGTGTGCATGCATGACAAACATGAAGTCTCTGATGGACTAAGAGTAAAGATTTTTTTGAGCACAGATGCTGAGAATTCTCTCCTGAATGGGCAGAGAGAAGGTACATGGGTGGCTGTGGCAGCCGGCTTCAAGATGCACTGGTTGGAGATTCTATTCATCTCTGTGGAACTATATCATTTCCATCAAAAGATTAAGTCTGTTCTACACTGGAGGAAATAACACCAACATTAAGGACTCTTAGATCTTAAATATCTCCAAACTTGTACGTCACATCAATACCATTTACTGGAGTTATTCTGGAAGTTTTTACTTTTGTTACCAAAAAATTCACTTCAATTGTACTACTTAGCAAACTCCAAAAGAGGACAGATGTGAGGACCCCAAAACAGGTTTGCCTGGTGGCTCTAATTTTTCAAGGAAATTGGGACCAAATTGTCCTTACTGTATTTCTTGGGCATTTTGCTTGGGTGTTTTTTTTCCATTTTCTTTCTTTTCAGGATGAATATTAATAATGAGAGGAATAAAAGGGGGGAGAGAACAAGTACATTAATGAAAATTTACTGTACTTTTCCAGAATGTCAGGTTCTAATCATGAGAAAAATTTGAATGGATAATGATGCTTTCACAGAACCTAGAGAAAATGTGTTTCTTTGTCCTCCGGGCATTTTATAGTGTATTATAACTTATAGTAATGAAATACTGACTTTAAAAAATTTATTTCCTTTTTTGAGATAAGGTCTTGCTATGTCGCTGGGCTGGTCTTGAACTCCTGGGCTCAAGTGATCCTCCTGCTTTGGCCTCCCTAAGTGTGTGCTAGGATTACAGCTGTGAGCCACCACAACTAGACTTTATTGGCTTTCTTTAATGCCATGAAAAAATGATGTCTGGACACCTGAAAAGACCAACTGCACATGCAGTTAACACAAACAACATGAATATAAAATCAACGCCTTTTCACATATGGAAAGACTGGACCCCGAACTGCCCACTTCAACTTTCAGACAAGCTTCTGCTCAACCATTTGGCTTCTTGGCACAGAACATATGCATGAAATTCTTTTACCTCCATGTAAGTGATTTATCTGGAACTATGCCCTGATAAATCACCCTTGTCACTCTTCCCCTTTACTTCCCCTGTCCCCTCCTATAAAGCTCTAGGTTCCTGTTTTTGAAACTCTGTAATAGTTGAACATAGGGCACAAAATCCTGCTAATTTTCTCTCTCAATTTAACAACAATGTGACTTTAACCCCTTGGCAATTGATGTTGGTCAGGATTTCCTGGCAGTAAATACTCAAGGACAGAGAAAGGAATCAGCACCCCACCATCATGCCAAACCATTTCAGTTTTTTCTTTTTCTTATTATTTTTTGAGACAGAGTTTCACTCCTGTTGCTCAGGCTTGAGTACAACGGTGAGATCTAGGCTCACTGTAGCCTCCACCTCCCGGGTTCAAGCGATTCTCCTCAGCCTCCAGGGTAGCTGGGATTACAGGTGCCCAACACCATGCTGAGCTCTTTTTTTTTTTTTTTTGGTATTTTTAGTAGAGACCTGGTTTTGCCATGTTGGCCAGGCTGGTCTCCAACTCCTGGCCTCATGTGATCCATCCACCTCGGCCTCCCAAAGTGCTGGGATTACATGCATGAGCCACTGCGCCCGGCCCCGTTTCAGTTTTTTTTTTCATCCTTTCTGCATTCTGAAGAAGAGGTGAACTGGCAGAGAATTTTAGAGTTAATATGCAAATGAACACCAGTTTTTTTTTCCCCCTAGTCATATCTGATTATACTGTTTTCACGACATTTCTGAAGACTGTATAGATTCTTTCAGCCTCCATGTGGATTTGTCAAACTGCGAGAGTGATCCCTGGGTGGGCACAGTCTGCCTTTCTTTGCAACCAATTCACCAATTCTTATACTGCAGACAGCTCACGTGTGCATCACTTTCATATTTCACAGGGGGCCTCCATACCCTCAAACCTAGTGTTAAGATTGTGGCCAGACTGCTTTATGGAGAGAGAACCTGTTAAAACTCCGGTCAAATTTGGTCTGTGCAATTTTATCTTGAATTATTAATTTAACATGACATTTAACATAATGTGGTACAATGTTTCATACAAATATACTACACTTCCACGGCTGTGTTTCTGGTTTTTTTTTTGATTTTTTTTTTTTTTTGAGACGGAGTTTCGCTCTTGTTACCCAGGCTGGAGTGCAATGGCGCGATCTCAGCTCACCGCAACCTCCGCCTCCTGGGTTCAGGCAATTCTCCTGCCTCAGCCTCCTGAGTAGCTGGGATTACAGGCACGTGCCACCATGCCCAGCTAATTTTTTGTATTTTTAGTAGAGACGGGGTTTCACCATGTTGATCAGGATGGTGTCGATCTTTTGACCTCGTGATCCACCCGCCTCGGCCTCCCAAAGTGCTGGGATTACAGGCTTGAGCCACCGCACCCGGCCGTTTCTGTATTTTTTACAGAGCAAAGTGGAGTCCTTATACTTTCCATCAGCTTGGACAGTATTACCCAAAGATGTCAATATAGGAGCTGTATCATTCTCAAATTTTGTCTTAATGATTTTACACTTCTAGTGTGGGGCTAACAGTGTATCTATCTTCAGATGCTGTATCAAATGGCTGGATAAAGCATCCCTCCTTAACAGGAAAGAAAGATTAATTACACCTAGGACATGATGGGGTGCATTCAGGTTTTGTGGGGTATAAAATGTAGACAGTAGTGGGGCCTCTCTAAGGAAAATACTACAAATTACGAGAATAAAATTGCCTGGGGCCTTCCCAAGCACTGGAAGGAGCTCTGCACAAGGGAAGGCCCCCAAGGCCTAAGCTTCACGAGCTTCATGGTGAACCTGTCACTGGTCATTTTGGACTTGTGCTTTTCACATATTGGACAGACCAGAACAGAAGGAAGAAAGCTGCATTTGAACCTTTTTCCAGAAAAACAAAACAATTTCTGTAAGGAGAAATCAATTTTTTGAGGGATACATCAAATATAATGAATTTTGATATATTTCAATTTTCAATATTTTGACACATTCTGATTTTCAATTTTGACATATTTTGATTTTCAAAAATATATTTTGATTTTCAGGATGGGGTTAAAAGTACTGTTTTATACAGATGAGTAAATTCAATTATAGAATTTACTGGCATGCTTTCTATGTAGAATACAAAGACAATGGGGCAAATGGGATT